TGCTACGTCTCTACCCCTGTATCTCTGAAAGAAGAAAACTGGAAAATGTAAAATGGAAAAACATACATGAAAACTTGTTAGCAGCAAACCAACATTGCATTTTCAACACTCACCAGTGGGGTTAGTAATAATAGAGTATGCTTCAATGTATACATAGTGCGACACTGGTTGACGATAAGCCTGCAGTAATAAGTACGCCCTGCAAAAAACGCATGTGCGATTGTCGACATTTATACTCCTGCAAGAAAAAAAGGTAAGTGGCGTCGTTCACATTTGTGAAACCTGCACACACAAAGTTGCTGTTGCGCACGTCTCTGAGCTTGCTCCAGTAGGGTTAGTGATAACCAGTTAGCGAACACAGCGTGATGTTATGCATCCCGCCGAAAATTGCTCCGGATGGGGTTAGTTATTTAGGAGATATTGCTATACACCACGACAAATACTTATCCTTAGCATAGCCAAACTCTGCGGTACAATCGAGGACGGTTAGGCAAACACAGAGCGCATGGCCCAAAACTGAATACATCGCAACGACAAAAAGACAGCATAAAACATTACAAATGTATCAAACCTTGGATGCTGCGTGACGGTGTCCGTGCACTGCGTGAACGATGTGCACCCCAACAGCCCGGCAGCTGCTGCAGCGCGATGGTGAAAACGCCACTCGCCATGAAGCCGACGCTGATGGCGCGGCTGCGGGACGACATTCGAAGCCGTAGCGGAAGATGCGTCACGCGATCTGTCTGATGCCACGATTATGTGTCGTCCCCAGGCTGGTAGACGGAGATTTTCCGTCAATACCTGATGGCGCATTTGGGAAAAAAAAAGGCAGGGGCGGAAGACAGATGGAAAAGAGGACGTCAAAGCGAGCGAAAGCTTGGTTAACTTTAGCGCCTAAGTTTGTCACCGTGAGGTTACCGTAAACCATGATCTAACTTAGCTAGGGTCCGTCGTCCCCTAATGGCGGTCTCAGACAGACGAACTAACGGAGGGAAATAGCAGACAGAAGTGGAAGAGTCGAGGCTGGTGCGTTCAGAACAGAGCAGGACTAAGGAACTCAACTGAAGAGATACAGCAAGTATCGTGAGCTTGCTGTGCGTTGGACATGAAAATGGGGCTGACCAATAGCAGCACAGAAGTCTGCCAAGTGTACGGGGTAGAAGTATGGGGTGGGCATATTCGAGAAGGTAGGGTTGTGGTTGTGATGTGTTGGTCTGATGACGTGTAGATAACGAAGGGTCGTGATTGGTTGTAAAAGATTGTTTGGCTTCACACGTCACTCAGGGTCAGTTTTGGGAAAAACACGAAAATGTTGTATCCACATTTTCAACTTCGCTTGACTTCGTAGCTGTATACACTTTCGTGATCTTCGCACACCTGCACACTTTGACAATGCCACTCCGCATCACCTTTTGGAATCTTTCTTGACCCTGCAAAACCTAGTGCGCTGTGTTTACGTAACCCTGGTGTGACTTTTTGGCGCAGGCATTCGCTCTCGCAAATTGTGTACGGAAAGTTGCGATTTCGGATCGTTGTTTTTTGGATACTTTGCGAAACATTTCCGCAAACTTTTCGCAGAAAAACCTTCGAAGGCCAAAAATCGCAACTTTCCTTTTTTCGCGATGTGAAGCTGGTATTTTCGAGAAACTAAGTAGAGGGAGACGACTCGTCGTGAAGCGTGGCAGCATAAACCATACCACCACCAGCCACCTGCCTCGGCGGCGTTCCATAAAGTGACGAGGCACGTTGGTGGGAAGAGCTGTCGTTGACGTGACGTGGATGCCGTGACGTGACGAGTCACGACGGCGTCCTTCTCCCACGCACTTTGCGCGGCGAGATTTCGGTAAATGCTGCACACGTCATCTTAGCAGCCTGAGGGATCATGCTCAGAGAGCGTGCCCGAAGCATGCTTGATTGCTTGGAAGGATTATGACCGCCGATCTCGGTGAAAAATCATGCCGTACACGTCGTCGTCACAGCAGCGATTGCATACGACGCGACGCTGCACTGCTGTACCATGTTATCGCGAGATGACAGGCATTGACTCCGCTAGGAACGGCGTTGACTTGCAAACGCTCGGCTGGCAAAGTCCCGAACATGCCTAGTTGGCGGATGTCCTTGGAACCTGAAGGTCTGGAAGAAGTCAACTTCCTCACGCTGACTGAAACCCCTAGCCACGTAGCGCGCCTTGAACACAGGCGGTGATCCAGGCGGCCGCTTCACCTTGAAGAGCCACATGCCATCGACAACGTTCGCCCTGGGAGGGGGAACTGCGTCGACGTAGGTGCCTGTGGATCTCCAAGACGCTAACTCTGAGTCCATAGCCTCTTTCCACTGAGAGGCCCACTCCCCTGACACTGCCTCACGGTACGTGCGAGGAGTCGGTAAGTCAAGGGCGTCGGGGTCTCCCTCAAGGGAAAGCAGCATGGCGCAGAGAGGGGGGGAAGCGGCTGCCAAGAACTCAAGCTCAAACTGCCTGTCCTCTAGGACGTCACAGCCAAGGGCAGACTCACCCCCGACGGACAGAGGACGGGGAGGTGGAGCAGCCACCACACGCGTGGCGTAGTCAAGGCGGCGGGTGGAAGCAAAGTCAGCGACAGTGGCAGTAAGAGTCGAGACAGACGACGGGGAGGCACGAGGGTCGGTGACAAGAGTGGCGAGAACAGGGGAGACAACAGGGCGAGCAGCACGGTAGTAGTCAGTGATAGGGTGAGAGGAGACAGTGAGAGACGACTCAGGAGGTGAGGGGAGAATAGACGAAGGCGGAGAACGACGAGGACTAGAACGAAACAAGACAATGCGGAGGTCGGCATAAGGAGATGAGGGACGAGCACGCGGTGGACAACGACTGGTCCAGTCGTGCGGGAGGAGACGACTGTGACTGAGGAGGAGAAAACAGCCGGCGCCGAGTCCGGAGGAGGAAACGTAGGGCCGTACGCTGTAGGAGACTGTGAGTGGACAGGAGGAGCGGAGGGAAGACCAAGGGCCCGAAGGCCACTCACTGGTGGGAACAGCTGCTGCAAAAGTGGCGGCTGCGGCAAACGCTGCTGCTGTTGCTGCTGCTGCAGCAGCTGCTGCTGCTCCTGCTGCTCCTGCAGGTCCAACTGCCGCAGCTCCTGCCTCTCCTGCTCCAACCGCTCCTGCTCCTCACGCTCACGTCGGCGAGCCGCCTGGAGACGTGTGTCGTGGCGGTGGGGAGGCGCAGTAGTAGTGCCTCCAGCTCTAGTCTCCTCAGAACTAGCACCTCCAGTGCCAGTACCTCCTGCTCCAGCACCCCCAAAACTAGCACCTCCAGCGCCAGCACCTCCAGCTCCAACACCCCCAGAACTAGCACCTCCAGCGCCAGCACCTCCAGCTCCAGTACCCCCTGAACTAGCACCTCCAGCGCCAGCACCTCCAGCTCCAGCACCCCCCGAACTAGCACCTCCAGCGCCAGCACCTCCAGCTCCAGCACCCCCAGAGTCCACAGGAACATGTCGCGGAAGTGCCGAAGGCTGCTGAGGGGACTGCAAGGAGGACTGCGGGGAGGGAGACGCTACCTGATGCGCGACCGAGGGTAGAGGGGTGGCGTGAGACACACCTGACGGGGCTGGACCAGGGGGAACGGGGAGACCTCGACAGGGGTAGCGAGCGTAGTAAGACACTGACTCATCAAACCGGACGTCACGAGAGTCTAGGAACTGGTGGAGGGGCGGGTGGTAAAAGGCGTAGTCGGGAGAGTCCACCGGGAAACCAAGGAAGACACAAGGGATGGCGCGAGCCGAGAGCTTGTCCGAAGAGGTGTCGCGGACAAGCGCAAGGCAGCCCCAGACACGAAAGGCCGACCCAACACCAGGGGACCAGGTCCAAAGACTAGTCAGTGAAGCCTCTGGCCGCGAGACACGCGGCTGGAGGTTCAGCTGGTGGGCGGCATAGCGAACCGCATAGGGCCACAGAAAATGGGGCGCACGGGCATGGATCATGGACGTGCGGGCGATGTCCATGACCAAGCCAATGCGGCGCTCAGCAACCCCATTCTGCTGTGGGGACTCCGGAAGCGTCCAGGACTGTGAGATGCCCTGTTCGCCGCAGAATCCGCGAAGAATGTCGATGCGAAACTCGCCCCCACGGTCGGAGTGGAGACAGGAGACACGACTGCCACGAGTGCCCTCAGTGGCGAGCAGCCACCGGATCAGCGTAGAAGTCACCTCGAACTTCTTCGCGAGAGGAAACACCGTGGTGTACCTGGAGTAGTCGTCGACGACCACCAAAAAGTAGCGCTCCCTCTCAGGTCCCTGCGTAGGGGCAGGGCCCCATACGTCCAAGTGGAGGAGGAAGGGAGGAGGAGTGTGGAGTGGCGCGAAGGCGGCCAACGACACAAGGAGTGCACGGCGGTGCAGGCGAGGGAGGGAGCGACGCAAAGACGCGAGGGAGGCCTAAGACCCTGGACCTTATTATCGCTAGCTCAGAAGCCATTGACTCCGCTTGGAGCGACGTTGACTTGCAAATGCCCGACTGGCGACAACCTCGAGAACATACCTCGCTGGCGAATCTCATTAGAAAGTTCACCGATATCTTTCTATGTATCGTTTTCAGCAAAAGGTGTAGTATGAACAAATGACTTCTCCCATTGAAACCAGTAGTGCTGGGTTCTTCATATCATGGTGGTGGACGAGTCCATCTCCTTGCTTGGCCCATCAAAATATAAAAGGCTTAAATTAAGTGTCACAGCATAAAAACACACTATAATTAGGTAAGTAACTTGACTTCCCAAGAATCATAACTCCTGTTATTGAACACACGAACATATACTGACAGGTAAAATAAATTTCCAGACAGTAGCCCAGTGTTGTCCTATGCTACACCTTACTGTGATCTCCAGATATGGGCTTTTTTGAAACACCCTAGTGGTTCGGGATGGGATAATTTTAGGTCCCTCCATCCATTCTCTCTCCCTCAAAATTGATAAACGGATGCCAATCGGATCGATTCCGACAGCGACCAACAGTTGGGCTCGTGTATCATGGGTTGCTGGAGAGTCCTCCGCTGCTCCTTGCTCCCTGGGCACGCGCAATCTCCATGCTGAGGTTGACATCGGAGGAGATCTCTAAGTCGCGGTCAATGCGAACCGCCATCCTGTCCTCGTCTTTCCCCAGAAACTCCTCCTTCATGACGAGCAGCTCGCCGAGCACGCGGCTGATGGAGGGGCGCGAGGCAGTGGGCATGGCGGTGCAGCGCAGGGCGAGGCGGGCCATGCGCAGCACCAAGTCGTCCGGCGCCTCCAGCTGCGGGTCCCTCATCGTGCCTGCGTCGCCCGCTGCCAGCAGCGGAGCCACCCACTGCTTGAGGTTGACCTGATCTGCATCCGCATTGTAGATGGCCTTACGCGCTGTGATGAGCGTCAGCATCACCACTCCAAAGCTGTGGGGAAAAGCAATGAGCAATTGACTCATGAGGTAGTCGATTTGAATCCAATCTGCAAAGTTGCTTTCCACTTAATTCGCATCTATACCTGTGCACACTACCAATACGTGAGCACACCACCCATATGTGTGCACATCACCCATACCTGTGCACATCACCCATACCTGTGCACATCACCCATACCTGTGCACATCACCCATACCTGTGCACATCACCCATACCTGTGCACATCACCCATACCTGTGCACACTACCAATACGTGAGCACACCACCCATATGTGTGCATATTACCCATACCTGTGCACATCACCCATACCTGTGCACATCACCCATACCTGTGCACATCAGCCATGGGGGTGGCCTTCTGTGACTTGTAGTAAGCCGGGTCCACATAGCCCGGTGTGCCCATCACGCGCGTGGCAATCACCGACGTGCCCTCGCCATGCCTCACCAGCCCAAAGTCTGCTATCTTGGCCTGCAGGGGGAAGAGCAGAAGTCTCAAGGCAGAACAAAGTGTTGACGACGCAACATCACTTTTTGAAAAATAAATACTCTGAGGTGCCCATTTCAATTCACACCTGCATGTTGGAGTCAAGCAGGATGTTGGCGGGCTTGATGTCGCGGTGCACGATGCCAAAGCTGTGGAGGTACTCGAGGCCGCGGGCCATGCCGGTGAGAATGTCCAGCCGCACCCGCACCGCCAGGGGGTGGGGACTCCCTGCACGCAGGCATGGGGCACATGACAGTGCCAAACGCAAGAAAAAGAATACGAATGAGAACCGAGAACAGGGTGCATATGTGAGCTTCCTGCCCGATGCCACATGCACAATGGCGTATCAAGCTCGACTCGGCAAGGCAGGGCAATGTGGTGGTAGTGGCAGTGTAGGTCTCACGGCGTCCAATCCAGCGTACTAGGGCCCAGAAGGGTAAATGTTAGCGTGCTCACGTGGTCCGATCCAACAGTCGAGGTCGCCGTTATCAACGAACTCGTAGATGACGATCTGCTCCATGCGCTCCGCCACCGGGTCGTAGTCCATGCAGTACCTCAGCAGCCTCACCAGATTCGGATGGCTCTTCGTTGCCATCTCGTTCACCTGTGTTCCAAAAGGGGAGGGGGGATAGAGGGGAGAGAGAGTTGAAGGCGGGTAGGTTAGAGGGGAGGGTGAGGGGCCAGAGGAGGGAGGGAGCGAACATAGAATCCAGACTTTTGTTACAACCTGCACAGATAGTCTAGAGCGCACCTCGCGCTTGAAGTCGTTGGTGAGGACCTTGGCGCGTTTGACAGCCCAGATCTCCTGGGGAGCAGTGGGGTTGGCGCCCTTGTACACATCCCCGAAGCTGCCGCTGCCAATGCGGTTCGCCTCCGCCCACTCGCCCGTCGCTGCCGCCACCTCCGCCAGCGAGTACTGCCGGCACACCATAGGCCGCGCCTCTGCTCCCACGATATACCCCCCCGTTGCACCCACGCCTTCTGCTCCTCTTCCTGATGCTGCGACGGCTGCTGCGTGTGCTGCTGCAACCTCTGCGGCGGAAGAAGCAGCAGCTGCCTGCCACGGCCACCTCCACCCCCCTCCTGCCCGTTCTGCTTTACCTGCTCCACTCGTATCCACTGCCATTGGTGCTGCTGCTGGACTGTCTGCCAATGGTGCTGAAGCCACTTCCCCTGCTGCCTTTTCTCCTGCTGCTGGCAGTGCGGCATCCCCTGTGGCTGCTTCTTCTACTCCACCACTGCTCTTCCGGAAGAACCACCAGCCACTGCCACTCTCCAAAGCAGCATCCTTCACCTCTCCCCCCTTCTCCCCCTCACTGCCTCCGCCTTCCATCCTCTCCGCCTCTCCATCTTCCTTGCTCTCCAATCCTGACATCTTCTTCTCCCTCTGCTCCTTCACGCGGATGAAAGTCAGGTACACGATCAGCAGCACCAGAGGCAAGAAAACCGCAGAGGCAACCACAATGGCCACGATTTCGCCTGTAGTCAGCTCCAGGCCATAGTAGATCCCAGCAGTTGACACTGCAAGTGGAGAGCATGAAAAGCAAGTTGGGTGAGTGAGAGCAGGTAAGTAGTGACTTGCCCATGGACAACTAGTAACTTGGGTCACTTGGGTGAAACAGGAAGGGCGACGGGTGACTCTAGCACGGAATGCGGATGCCAGCCAGCCATGAGGCAGGCGGCCTGGCTGATATTTGACTGCGGTAGCTGAAGAATCAAAGCATCCCATTCTGGCCGGTTGCGCTTCTCGAGCGAACCCTCTAAGGACCAGCCAGGCTGCCTCATTCCTTAAGGAACAACAGTTTGGCCCACTCCCCTTCCCCCCCCCTCCCCCCGGGCCATTCCCTTCCCCAGGAAGGAGAACAAGAAGTATACGAGCAAGAGAGCCGCTGCCGTAATGAGTCGACTCAAATGAACAAGAGAGCCGCTGCCGTACCGCGGCGTTTGGCACGTACTGCTGGAAGGGCCGCACGTGGAACAGAAGCCCGCGCATTTCTCACAGAAACGCGTGTATGGATATTGCACCACCTCGCAGCTGCCCTTGTTGGGAGGGCAAACAAAGCTATCCCAGTCAAGATTCCTGGAAGGTCATGGCAACAGTGGTACCATGGGGTGGGGAAGGACAATGAGGCAAGTGAGGATAGCAGGGGAAGCTTGGCAATGCATTATGGATGAGAACAGACAGGCTATCCTATTGCCTCCAATGGGTGTATGCCTTCCAGTCCAGGTGATGGGGCATCTCATGTGCGACATCCGAACGATGGTTATCCTGTTGACACCCTTTTCTGATCCTGAATTGCAGAAAACCAAAGGATTGATGTTGTATATGAGCCACCCTTCCCTTCTACACCACCCTCTCATGGTGGCGCCCCCTTGCGCGTTTACTCCACACCTACCCATTCTCAACCAATAATATCTATCAACCCCCTCAAGGTTTATGTCATTACGCTTGTATATATCTCGGTGCTGTTTCCCCCAAGAAGGCTGGAAGGGGGCCCGACAACTGGTTGCCTTGCAGGTTGCTGGAAGAGTCATTATTGTGGAGAGAGGCGCACAATGGGATGGGGGTGAGCACAAGCATGGAGGAAAAGGGAGGGGAAATAGAGTCAACGTCGATCTCAAAGACACGATTGTGTGTTAATTGCACAGATTCTGTGGTTAAGAGCGGTGAATGGGATCACAATGTGAGCTGGATGCACTGGCTGCAGTGGCTGCAAGATGGAGGGTAAAACACGATGTGATTGCACGTGAATGTGAGAGGCGAGAGAGGGCAAAAACGCAGCAGCCTAAAAGAACCTGCCAGCTCTAGATAGTTTCTGTGCCTAATCATAGTAACGAAATCGCGTTGTATGCTCACAGATTATGGAGAGTCGGGAGTTTTGAAAGCTCCGAGGGGATGCTGCCAGTGAGCTGATTGTGGGCCAGGCCACTGCACATGCAGCAACAGGGAATAGGAGATTTTGCAGGGGACTTGCTTATGGGACGCCGTGCAGTAAACTCTGGATGATAATATGTGCGCAAGATGAGAGGCAGCATCCACGAACAGAAGAAGGGTACGAACAAAGGGGACACAAAAGTGAGAAGATCTTTTAAAAAGGAAAGTAAAGTAACCTGAGTTTGGAGGGGCTATTTGTGCCTTTTATGTGATAATATAATGTTCGCATGAGAACTTGAGGCCTGCTTACAGATACTGGAGGCTCTTCAGCTGTGAAAGGCCTGACGGTATACTGCCAGTGAGTTGATTACCCCAGAGCTCACTGCGTGCGCAGGAATCGAATGAATGGGAGAGGTGGTGGGAGGAGCGGAGAGAGACATTGGGGTAATGCAAAATACAGTTGCTGCACATGACGTTGAAAATACTAAATCCCGACTCAGAATTACTACATGTGCGCACTTCCGCTTCAGATGACACTGAAATACTTCGGAAGTGCGTACATGTATTCACGAGTGCACACCAAAGACTTCCTGTACATCCACAAGTGCGGTGTTCGTGATGGTGCATTCAGTGCCGCGAGACATACAGTTTGGTGAGCTCGGTGAGCTTGGAGATGCCGTTTGGAATGGTGCAGCCGGTGAGAGAACGATTGCCCAGATCTCTGAACGAAGGAGGCCATGATGGAGAAAAGATCAGCAAGAGAAATTATCGCAGCATCATGATGCGGCCGGGCCATGATATCATTGTTGTAGAGGCGTCTCCTCTACTTTGCAGGAACTCTAAGTTGCACTAAACGATAGAGGACAGTCTTGGCTTTCCAACAAGCCGTCAAACACGTTAATCGCCCAAGTATACGCCGAGATATTGGCGTTCACGTGATTGCTAGTGCTCTTAGAAGCAAGGATAGACCTCTCTGGAATTTTGGTTCGAATGGACCATGTACAAGAAGATTCAGGATTTCAGTATAAAGCATGCATACAAGGCAGGTCGATTTATAGCAAATGCATTACATCGAACCGCACATGTAACATCACATCGCTACACTCGCGTCGCGAATGCGCCGCGTGTAACATTTCGGTTGGGGTGAAATTCGACCACCGAATTTCACACCGAACACACCGAATTCGCCTTGCACTTGAAGGTTGGAATGTGGTGCCGCCACGTGGCACCGAAGGGTGAGTCTCCCGAAGTCAATCGGTGCCACCCCACCGATCCCTAGTCAAAGGGATCGAAGGCACCGAAGTGCCCTCGGTGGGTTGGGGGCATACCACCGCCCCACCACCGTTTCCTTCCAACACTCCCCCTTGCACCCAAGCCACTAGGTGTTCATACCAACACGCTCACGGCATGCACGGAATGAATCCTTAGGGAGTGGTTTAGTGAGGAAATCCGCGGGTTGCGCCTTGGTGCTTATGTATGTGACCTTGACCTCACCTCTCTCGACCACCTCACGAATGAAGTGATGCTTCACCTCAATGTGCTTGGTACGCCCGTGAAGGACGGCATTGTGAGTGAGGTTTATGGCCGCTTGGTTGTCACAAAAGAGAGGAGTTGGGTCGGCTTGAGGATGCCCAAGCTCCGCTAGAAGGCGCCGTAGCCATATTGCCTCTATGGCTCCTTGAGTGAGTGCCATATACTCCGCTTCCGTTGTGCTTAGAGCCACGGTTGGTTGCAACTTGCTTTGCCAACTCACGGCTCCCCCAAGCAAGGTGAAGACGTACCCGCCGGTACTCTTGCGCTTGCTTTGATCACCGGCATAATCCGAGTCGGTGTAGCCCTTAAGCACGATTGGACCGGCTTCATATACGATTCCCAAGTTGGGTGTGCCTTGGAGGTAGCGTAGAACACGTCCTCCCGCACGCACATGCTCGGTATGAGGGTTGCTTACGGCTCGTCCAAGTACCCCGGCGGCGTATGAGAGGTCGGGACGGGTGGAAACGGCGGCATACATGAGTGAGCCGACTAGCGAATGAAACCGCTTCCCTTCGGCTTCGTCGAGGGCGGATTCTTCCTCTCCCGGGAGGCAAGAAAATCCCGTGTCTAGTGGCGTCCCCACCGGGTTGCTATTACCCATGCCGAAGCGCTCCACAACCCCTTTCACATATTTTTCTTGGTGGAGGTGAATGGTCCCATTCGCGCGGTCGCGGTCGACGTGCATCCCGAGGTAGTACGTCACCGGTCCCAAGTCCCTCATGGCAAACTCCGCCCCTAGCCGTTGCTTGACCTCTCGAATGAGGTCTTTGGAGTCGGAGAAAAGAAGGAGGTCATCGACGTAGAGCAAAAGCACCAATTGCTTCTCCCCCTCCTTCAACACGTACAAAGCGCTATCACACACGCTACGCGCGAAGCCGTGTTGAAGAAGAAAGTCGTCGATGCGCTTGTACCATCCGCGTGGGCTTTGCTTCAAGCCATAGAGGGTACGCTTGAGCTTCCACACCCGACCGCTACCGTCATCGTACCCCGGGGGTTGCCGCATGTAGACTTCTTCCATGAGAAGCCCGTAGAGGAAGGCGGTGCAAACGTCCAATTGTTCCACCTCGAGGTTGAGAGATGCCGCTAGCGCGAGCAACACCCGAAGAGTGGAGGCCTTCGAAACGGGAGCGAAGGTCTCACTATAGTGCTCCCCCTCCCGTTGAGTATACCCTTGCGCCACAAGCCGCGCCTTGTAGCGTTCGACACCTCCATCGGCTCCCAATTTCTTCCTAAGCACCCACTTGCATCCCACCAAGTAGGCACCCTTCGGCGGGTCGACGAGCTCGAAAACATCGTTCTCCTTGATCGATGCTAACTCCCTCTCCATCGCTTGCTTCCATAGCGGTGCATCCGGGGAAGCCAAAGCCTCCTTGTGAGTGCGTGGGTTATCGTCGCCGATGGTCGCTAGGCAAATCGCCACACTCTCCTCATCCGACTCCCCAACGGCGACCGTAGCATAGTCGGTTAACCTCGTGTTGGGGCGAGGTGTACGACGCCCGCGAGTCAACGCCAATGGTAGGGAAGAAGGTGCGGAGGAAGTGGCCTCCTCGGTTGGTGGCACCTCCTCGACATCATCATCGCACTCCTCGTTCTCTCCCCCTCCACTTTCGGCTCCCTTCTTCACTTGCGGTGAAACCTCCACCGCTTCATCCTCCTCTCGTGCGGGAAGGACGACGGTGAGTTGGGGCGTTTGTTTCTCCTTTGTCGGGAACTTGTCTTCGTCGAAGATCACATCCCGAGACGTGACGACGCGTTTTTCATCCAAATCCCACACTCGCCATGCACGCTCGTTCGCCGCAATCCCCAAGTAGATCGCCGCACGAGCTTTCGGTTGCAACTTGTGGCGAAGTGGATCCGGTACATGGTAGTAGCAAAGGCACCCAAAGGTGCGTAGGCGGTATAGGTTCGGCTTCGTTCCGGTCCATGCTTCGAACGGAGTCGTTCCCGGTAGCACCTTTGTTGGCACACGATTACGAATCCATGCCGCTAGCGCACTCGCCTCTCCCCACCACTCGTTCCCAAGCTTGGAGTGTTGAAGAAGTGAACGAACGGCCTCCATCAATGTGCGATTGAGCCGCTCTACCGCTCCATTTTGTTGGGGTGTGTAGGGTGTCGTGACGTCGTGCTTAATGCCCTTGCTTTTCATCCATTTTTCAAGCTCGTTGCTCACGAATTCGCCGCCACCGTCGGTGCGAATGCACTTGATCCGCTTCTTGCCGTCGTCGCAAACGTCGAGCGCCCACTCTTGAATCACCTTGGCCGCATCTCCCTTAGCCTTCAAGAGTCGGGTCCAACTCATCCGCGTCGCGTCGTCGAGCATCACTAAGAGGAACCGCGCTCCTCCCTTTGATGCATGCCGCATCGGTCCACACACGTCCATGTGAACAAGCGCAAGCGGGTCCTTTGCGAGGGGTGAGGTACGGCTACCAAATGGCTTGCGAGCCATTTTTCCTTCGACACACGCCGCGCACACGCCCTTCTCGTCGTTGCCGGCGATCACGTCAAATCCCTTCGCAAGTCCTTTGTTGGCCAACTCTTTGACCGAGTCGTAGTTGGCGTGCGCAAGCCGATTATGCCACATTTTGAGAGTCGCCTTGGAGCCTTGCGCCACGTTGGATGAGGCCGTTGTCGGATGCGTCTTGAGTTGGTAGAGTTGTCCGTTGAGAACGCCTTGCGCGAATTGCTTCCCCTTCCAAAAGAGGTTCATCTTCGCGCCATCGATGGTGACCTTCACGTCTTTCTTTGCGAGTTGAGTGACGGAGAGTAGATTCACCTTCAATCCCGGGACGTGAAGCACGTTCGTGATGTCCACCGGCCCGCCATCGACGATGAGACGCGTACTCCCAACTCCAACCACCGGTATCGATTTATCGTTCCCGAAGACGACGCGCTTGACGTCTCCCGGAGCACCGACGTTGTTGAGGAGCGACGCCGAGTGCGTCATGTGTTGTGTTGCACCGGTGTCGAGGAACCACGCGTCGTTTGAAGTGTTGATCCCGTCAGCGGCCAACAAAACGAGCGACTCCGTTGAATCATCCGCCTCGCCGGATGCCGTGTGCGCGTTGCCCTCTTGGTTCCGCGCCTTCGATGGAATCCAATCGCTCGGCCGCTTCCGACATTCACGCCAAAAGTGCCCCGCTTTGCGACAATAATGACACTTGCTCGAACCGTTCGATGCGTTGCCCTTGCCGCGACCGTTTCCACCGGACGACTTCTTTGCCTCACCGTTGCTCCACTTGGACTTCTTTCCGGAGCTCCCTCCGGAGAACATGGCGGTCTCCACGCTCTCGTTAGCGAATTGTCGGCGTCGCGATTCTTCATGGAGAAGCCGACCGACCACCATTTCCTTCGTCCAAGTGTTTTGCACGCTATCGAGTGTCGTAATCACCGTCGACCACTCTTCCGGAAGGCCGCAAAGCAAGGTGAGAATCCAATCCTCCTCCGTGACCGTTCCACCGAGGTCCATGAACGTTTCCCCGAGTTCCTCCACACGAGTCGCATACTCGTGCATCGATTCGCCCGCGCGCAACTTCACCGTGTAGAACGCATTTCGGGCTAGGATCTTGCCGTGGAGAGTCTTGTTCATGTGCATCGTCTCGAGCCGCTTCCATGCTTCACGCGCCGAAGCTTCGAGCTTGATGCACGTGCGCACCGAACTCACGAGGTTGATGCCGATGCGCGAAATCAACGTTGCGAACGCCTTTTGGTCCTTCTTCTTCCATGCCGCGATCTCGTCCTCGTTGATCGGCTTTTTCTCCGTTCCGTCAAAGAGACCCCAAAGTCCCCGCTCCATCATGAGCACTTGGAACTTAAATTTCCACGCGGAGTAGTTTTGTCCCGTGAAAATCGGAACCGCCGACGTGTCGAACACCGTCGCGTTTGTCCAGGGTTCGCCGGGATTCGAGACGACACCACCTAAGGAAGTGCCGGAGGTTTCGCTTGACGTCATCATGCTTGCTACAAGTCGCGCACGTAGACTCTACCGACCAGCTCTGATACCACTGTTGTAGAGGCGTCTCCTCTACTTTGCAGGAACTCTAAGTTGCACTAAACGATAGAGCACAGTCTTGGCTTTCCAACAAGCCGTCAAACACGTTAATCGCCCAAGTATACGCCGAGATATTGGCGTTCACGTGATTGCTAGTGCTCTTAGAAGCAAGGATAGACCTCTCTGGAATTTTGGTTCGAATGGACCATGTACAAGAAGATTCAGGATTTCAGTATAAAGCATGCATACAAGGCAGGTCGATTTATAGCAAATGCATTACATCGAACCGCACATGTAACATCACATCGCTACACTCGCGTCGCGAATGCGCCGCGTGTAACATTTCGGTTGGGGTGAAATTCGACCACCGAATTTCACACCGAACACACCGAATTCGCCTTGCACTTGAAGGTTGGAATGTGGTGCCGCCATGTGGCACCGAAGGGTGAGTCTCCCGAAGTCAATCGGTGCCACCCCACCGATCCCTAGTCAAAGGGATCGAAGGCACCGAAGTGCCCTCGGTGGGTTGGGGGCATACCACCGCCCCACCACCGTTTCCTTCCAACAATCATTGCATGACTCCGTCACCTTTTGGATATTCTCTAGAGTCTTGCAAGAGAACATGTGGCAATGAAGGATTTGTGAGGCGAAACGGATCGCACACGACTGGGTGAAGCAGAGGCTAAGAACAACGAAGGGATTTTCAAGATTGAGATCTCTTCACGGCATGAGGTTCTGGAGCTCGTAGAAACAAAATTTTGATATTACAGCGTGTTAATGAAGCCGTTTGGGTTGCAAAAGACACCGCCGATGGAACAGTAGTCGGGGGTGCTCGACAGACCGCAGAGAGCGAACTGCATCATCACCATGGCTGGAGCACAATGGTAAGGGACGAAATCATTTGATGAGCAGGGACGGGGTTCGGAGCAGACGTAAGACTATCATAGATGCAAAACGTCTCGTCATCAGCGTGGTACACGTCGCTATGAATTGGATATAGTAATTAACTTGACTCAATTTCTCGGAGATATATTTTTAAGCACGGTGCTTCAGTTGCATATCATGGGGCTGTTACAAAACACAAAAAGTACCGTTCGTTTCATCGCACGCGCAGTAGTAGCCGCAGGAGCAGAATGGCTGTGCGTTGGCGGAGAGTTGAGCAGCGGCGGCTCCGAGTAAAACGAGGAGTGTGATGGCGAGGCGACCGTGACTGAGGTGCGCCATGATCATGTAGCAAGAAACGGATAATTGAGTGGTAATGAGCTGCGACGTATACTTGGGCTACCGCGAGAATAGGAAACGACTAAGCGAATCAAGAGCAAAACTTGGAAATACTAAACGATCAATATCTGCCACAGCTTCTGAATGCTGGATTGCCGCAGATTCTTGAAAGTTCCACCTTTATGGGTGAGAGTGGAGCTGCTCAGGGCTGGAAAATGAAGTTCGGGGGGTGTTGAAGGGGGCCAGGGAGGAGGGAGGGCCAGAGGGGTGGGGGGAAGATGGCTAAGGTTTTGGTTGGTTTGGGGTGATTGGGTGGGGAGTGCGTAATGTGTTGGCAGCCGAACCGCTCTCTTCGCTCGGCATTTCTGGCATGTGATGTGACAGCCAGGCTGTCTGTTGCTGAGAGTGCATTCCGAACGGACGGCTGCGATATTTTCCACCGAGGAGGTGGATGTCCCCACGATGTGCAGAATGGTAATCTTGGCAGGACGAATGCCTTGACTGAAAGACCAGCGCGATTGACTTGGAACGACCTTCCGTTCTGCGATTCGCAAAGGCTGCCAGCTGGGCATCCATTTCCAGTTATCCTCGTTGGCAGTGAGGAGGCGTAGAAGCAACAATTCATGCCACCACAAACCACTCAGCGCGATGTTATTGCATAACGTTATCTGCCAGACCACAATAACGAAAAAAAATATCTTATTGCATATATTAATAATCAGTGACTCTAGGACACCGCCTCAATCTGCTCAGTCCAAAGCTGCGTCAGCAACTCAAAGGACTGAGCCAGTGATTCATCACAGGAAAAGGATCCTCACAAGGCAGGCCGGTGCTGTAAAGGCATTTTTCGGGACTCCTCACACGGCGGGCACTCGTTCACCATCTTCATCTCATTCATACATTGATGCCCTGAGATCTCAAGTCCGCTGTAGCCTTCCCCTACTCCGAGAATTGCGAATCGAGCAGCTCCAGATCCTCCTCAATGGCCCTCTAAGGCTATCACTCGCAATCATCTCATGGATTGAGGTGCTGCTGATACATTCAAGTCCGCTGCAGCCTTACCCTCCTCTGAGAACTGCAGATTCAGCAGCTCCAGATCCTCGTCAATGCTCCTCACAGGCTTTTTGCTCGCAATCTTCGCATCCACTCTTGCTGCTAGTGAGGCACTCTTGTCCCCCCCTCCCACCTCGGCCTGCAGCGCTTCCAGGCTTTGGGCCACATGGGACATGGAGGGGCGCGAGGCGGTGGGCATGGCAGTGCAGCTGATGGCCAGCTGGGCAACGCGTGTGATGATGTCCTCCGGTGCCGCCATGCGGGTATCCCCAAGACTCGATGCTTTTCCTGCTGATAGGAGCTCCCTTGCCTGTGGCATTGGCCATGGGGAGGGTGTGGGAGGGGGGGATGGGGAAGGCGGGGTGGGGGGGGAGGGGGGAGAAAGAAGAGGCGGGAAACGGGGTAGGTGGGTGGGTAAGAAGGTGGGAGAGGAAGCATGAAGGATCTGGAGAGCAGGGGATCTGTTGCCTGTATCAGCACTCTTAGTAGGCTTGCTGCATTTCGGAACCAACTAATTTCAACTGCGAAGGATCTGGAGAGCTGGGGATCTGTTGCCTGTATGAGCATAACACACAGACAGACGCACCCATTGGACAATGGTTATAGGCTCGTGTTCCTCATGGTGATGGCCGGGACCATCGTCCTGCTGCTTCAACTCTGTGACGACAGGTCCTCTCCCTGACAGCACCACCAGCATCAGCACGCCAAAGCTTCGCTCGCAGAGTACAGGAAACACAGAGGCACAGAAACGAAACGAGGGAGGAGCGTCAGATTAACCGGATTGCAGGAGGGAGCGTGACACGGCATGAAGCAAGGGAGGCACGGCACGGAGACGAAGCGGCATTGAACACGTTGAAACACGTAAAACACTCACAGTCAAAGGACAGGAAAGGTGGGACAAACAGGGAAACAAATTGACACATCAACCAGACAAGGCCGCGTCGCACATGTGCCGTCCACAGAAATGCGGAAGCATATGCCCATGCCCATGCCCATGTGGGCACCTGTAGACGTCCGTGGCGGTGGTGGTGTTGTGCGTTCTGGTGTAAGCGGGGTCCACATAGCCCACCGTGCCCATCACCCTCGTGGAGGCCATGGTGGTGCTGTCCCCTTCTCGCACCAGCCCAAAGTCTGCCACCTTGGGCTGACAGGCAAGGCAGGAGAGGACAGGTTACAGGAGAAGAGCAGGAAGAGAGGTTTTTCTACAGCCACCGCACCCGTCGTTGTTATTAAGGACGGGCACGGTGCTGGGCTTGCTGTGGATTGGTATAGTGAGAGAGGTGGGTGGCGATGGCATGTGGATACATACAGCATTGCTGGATACAGACAGCATGTGCATACTGGGGAGAAGATGCTACATGGAAGATCTTGAGATGAGACATCTCCTACGCTGCTGCTCTCTGCAGATGTCTCAAGATCTGCTGCAGCGGAATGGGGAGAAGCTGCTGAGCGGAAGTGAAAGAGCGTTGTTCAGCTGAAGCAGAGAACATTGAGTTGCCCACAACACACAGCACCTTGCCTTCCTCCACGCACAACGTCTCACACATGCATGCATGCACGGCGCACTGACTAACCTGCATGTCTTCATCAATGAGGATGTTGGCGGGCTTGATGTCGCGGTGCACGATGCCAAAGCTGTGCAGATACTCCAACCCGCGCGCTGCCCCTAATAGGATATCCAGCCGCTGCTGCAGGGTGAGAGGCGTGGGCGCATCTGCAGGAAAGGGGAGAGAAGCAGAGAGGAAGGGAGAGACACATGGGGAGAGGCGGATTCAGAAAGGGTTGGGCGCGAGGGCAACTGAGAGTTAAACAGGAGTGCAAGAAGAGCACAAAAGTGCTGTAAAAGGAGTGCGAGAAGGAGCTGTTTTCCTTGGTTGTGCTGTACTCAGCGCTGTACCTGGGCCCATCCAGCGTTCAAGGTCCCCGTTGGCAATGAACTCATAGACGAGCACGTTCTCCACGCGTGTGAGCACGTCGCCTCCCACTGCGAACCCCAGAAGCCGCACCAAGTTGGGATGGTGCTTCGTGGACATTTGGGTCACCTGTAGGGGTGACAGAGAGCAGGACACAACACCACAAGCTCACTCATTGCGCCGCATGGAAATGCTCTTTGTTCGTATTTATATATATATATATATATGTATATACATTCTTCTAATAATGATTTCGTTTCCCTAAACATAGTACCTACCTTTTCGTACCGGCATAAACGAATCAGACCCTGCTTAACCCGCTCTCTCTTCTGCAGACCACGCAGCTCAACTCAAGCTACTCAGTCCTGCCATCCACCCAACCCCCCTCTCTCTTGGCTTCACTCCTCTAAACCCCCTCTCACCCAGTCCCTGCTCCAAGCACCCACACACGCACCTCCCGCTGGAAGTCGTGGGTGATCACTTTGGCGCGCTTCACAGCCCACAGCGTGGTGCCATCGAGGGGCGACACGCCCTTGTACACGTCGCCATAGCCCCCCGATCCCAGCAGGTTGGCCTCCGCCCAGTCGTCCGTAGCGCGGGTGACCATGTCGAGAGGGAGCTGTTGGAATGCTGCTGAGCTGCTGACTGGGCCGCATGCAGCTGCAGCTGCATGCACAGGGGTGAGGGATAGGGATGGATGGATGGCAGATAGACGACTTTCGAGGCGCCTCAAAGGGGAAACAGAGGAGAGACAGACCTGTGGTAGCACGCTTGCTGCTGTATGAGAACGTGAGGGCGCACCAACCAAGCAGAAGCAATGAGGAGTAGAAGCAAGAGGACTGAGTGCTGTTGAGACGTCTCAAAACTTTGATGCAGAAGCAACGGAGGAAAGGCAAACCTGCAAGAGTGGTCTTGTTGCGGCGTGCGCGTGCACGTATTGTGAGGATCCACCACGCTGCAGCGATGAGGAGCAACAGCAGGAAGACTGCTGCCACCACAATGCCGATGATTGCACCTGCTGACAGGCCGGATTGATCGGTTCTGGTGGTGGCGTTGACATTGGCTGCAGGGGGCGGGGCAGGTTACACATGGGGTACAGACAGAGATACATGCACGCCGTGAAACACATGTGTTATTCACGCACGCACGCACGCACGCACGCACGCACGCACGCACGCACGCACGCACGCACGCACGCACGCACGCACGCACGCACGCACGCACGCACGCACGCACGCACGCACGCACGCACGCACGCGCGCACGCACGCACGCACGCACACACACACACAAAATTGCAATGCAGAGAAGTGGTGTGGTGGCCTTTCTCTCACACCGTGCATCTCAAGCTCCAAAAAACACCAGCTCAATGTGATTTGACGCTGCGTAAAATGGAAGTTGCACTTGCAAAACTGGCTGCAGCCTGTGTAGCAGGTATAAATCGCCTCGGCAAATTCTTTAGGCGCCTGAAAAGGCGCATTTTTAAACGCCTGAAATGTGGGTCTAGGGTTCAAGCCTTGGCATACTGAAACGTATTGTGCAGTGGTGAGGCGCGCTACAAGGAGAATGTGGTGCACTGAGAATGAGAGGCAAGGATGAGGAGTGGCACACAGTAGTTGAAGGTTCTTGAGGCTTGAGAGTGCTTGGGGAATAGACCCTGTGATCCCAGGGTATATATTGTAGCCCAGATCCCTGTCACCAACCAAGCAGCAAGAGGCAAGAGGCAAGAGGCAAGAGGCAAGAGGAAAGAGGAAAGGAGTGAGAGGCATGGGGAAAGAGGAGGCAAGGGGCAACAGTCACCGCTCAACACAGCATGCCACGGTGACACAGTGCTCGTGTGTGACAGCGGAAGCGCGAATGGCAGTGCACTTACAACAGCTCACATGGCAAAGGAAGCACAAAGCAGGGCACTGGAGAGCAATCAGAGGGACACATAGCTCTGATGCCCCCCTGTCTGTCCTCGCGAGGTATTGTGAGTGAGCTGTATGTCCCCCTGTCTGTCCCTCTGGAATGGTTGCTGTACTGTGTGTGAGCTATACACTGCAAGTTACAACCATAGTGACATTGAATAACACCAGTGTAACTCACTAAAATTACTGAAGGAAGCAGCAGCGCAATGAGCTCAACTCAACATGTCATGTTTTCACTGTGTGTGACTGTCACGACATGCCACCATGATCATGCGATGTCATGACCTGCCATGGACGGCACTCACAGATGCTGCAAGCGTGTTAGGCGAGAGAAGGAGAGTGGGATGGAGCCTAAGAGGTTATTCCTTTGAAGAATTTTGAGATGCGTAGATGGTGGGTGGGGAAAGGGAGGGGAGGTCATGGGAAGAGGAGTTGGAGTGGGGTATTTAGGTTTGTGGAGTATGTATGTTGGAGTGGAGTTGGCGATGCAGGTTCAAGAGACTGACTCTGACATACTTGTGATCGCATGGTGACGCCTGGCATGGCATGGCATGGCATGGCATGGCATGGAACGACACAACAGCAAGTGGAACGGCACAGCAGCCATAGGGACATTGTGAATAAAGCCAGTGTGATTTACCAAAATGACCAAAGGAAGCAGAAGCAACGAACTCACCTCACCATGTCATGCTATCACTGTGTGTGACTGACATGACATATCACCATGATCATGCGATGTCATGACCTGCCATGGATGGCACTCACAGATGCTCCAAGCGTGTTAGGCGAGAGAAGGAGAGTGGGATGGAGCCGGAGAGGCTATTACTTGAGAGAATGCTGAGATGCAGGGATGGTGGGTGGGGGAAGGGAGGAGAAATCACGGGAAGAAGAATTGGAGTCGAGTGTGTAGGTTGGAGTGGAGTTGGCGATGCAGGTTCACGAGACTGACTCTGACATGCTTGTGATCGCATGGCATGGCATGGCATGGCATGGCATGGCATGCGAGGAACAGCACAGCCGCAAGTGGAACGGCATGGCAGCAATTGGAACAGCATGGCAGCAATTGGAGCAGCATGGCACAGCATACAGATTTGTGAGGGATGTGAGGTTGCCAATGGCGTCTGGTAAGGGGCCGTCCAGAGGCTGCTCTTCTGGCGGGTGGCATGGGGACATGCGTGCGTGTAAAGCATCAGTCAATGGGGCATGGGCACTGGTCATGAGGAATGTGTGACATGGGCCATACGGGGCACGGATAGTGGGGCATGGGGGACAGGGCATGGGTAACGAGGTTTCATGGGGCGTGCACCAAGAACCTCATGGCAGGCAAAAAGCGAGCTCGTTCTCTTCCCCCTTCCCTTGTCCCCCCTCTCCTCTCTCCATCAACCTCCCCCTGCACGCCCACCTTCTCATGTTCTTTCTTCCCAACCCCCTCTAACTCCGACTCCCACTCACTTCCTCCCCTTCCAGTCCATATCTTCCCACCCTCCCCTCCTTCTCCCCCCCCTCGTTTTTCCGCTCACACACACACACATGGCAGTGATCATGCCATGGGAGTCGCACTCAACGCTGTCCACTGCACCGCACTCGCCCCCTGTGTACCACCCAGTCAGAGATGTCACCCACTGCTGCTGACACTCTGCCAGCACCGCCGCTGCAGGGGAGGAGGGAGCGACAGGGGAAGTAATCAGTGAGACCTTTCGGAAGAGTGGCACACCCATGCAGCAGCACTATATCGCCCACTGCTACTGACACTCTGCCGCCACTGCGCAAGGGAGGGGAGCGACAAGGGCGGGTCATTCTTTTTGAGGCGTCTCAGAAGAGTGGCGTGACACAGCTAGCCATGCAGCAGCAGTGCTATCGCCCACTGCTGCTGCCACTCTGCCAGTGCCGCCACCGCGGAGGGGAGAAAGGGGGGAAAGGGGGGAAAGGGGGCAGGAGGGCAGCAGAGAGTGGGCGGGGAGCGCGGAGGGTGAAGAATGGACGGGAGCATGAGAGCGGGTGCAAGGAAATGCTTTTCGAGAATTCTCCAAACCAATCCAGTGTACGCAAGGGGGTGTGGAGGGGAGGAGGAAGGAGGGTGAAGAGGGAGAATGCAGGGAACGGGCTGGAGTTAGCATTGGCAGCGGGGAAGCGGTGGTGGGGGGAAGATGCGGCGATGTGAGCGTGGAAGGGAGGACGCGAGAGGAGTGGTGTGATGTTGGATGTGTGTTTGAGTGTGGGGTACGGTACCAAGAAGGGACGGGTATGTGGGTGGGTGGGCAGGTGGAAGGGGTTCCAAGAAGGGACGGGTACATGTATGCAAGCTGAAAGACATAAAAATGATTAGACCGGGGGGTTGGGGTGGGAGGAGGGAGGGAAAAAGGGAGACGGTATGCGTGTTAGACGGATATGCGTGTTCGACGGATATGCGTGCGAGGCGAATACGCGTGCGTGGCGAATACGCGTGCGAGGCGATTGACGCCACCGACCTTGCGACGGGTTGAGTGTCTGAGCGGCAGTCGTTACAAGGCTACTCGCCATCGCGATCACGAGCATCGCGACGACGACCACGGCGACGCGATGCGACTCCTCCATTCGTATCGGCGATTGCGGACTGAGCAAGACGAACGGGGGACGGTGCTCTGTAGAAGATGGCGTTTCAGGGTCGGTTTAGCGAGGGAAACGGAAAGTTGGAACCTCAAGATGTGGAAATGGGACACACTTACAAATGAGAATCCGGTTAGCCTTGTGCCTAGTACATTCACACCCTACCACTGGCCACAAGCCTTACACCTAACCTCCGCCTCATGCGCGGTACTCGTCTCATTGAATGGCTTCCAGCCTCTAGCAATTGTGCTACAACACTCTGACGATGAGTGTGGACGCTTTGCTTTGCAGAGTCACCTCGGTTACGAAAATTGTGATGCGAAGCGAATCCCCTCGGCCCGTGCAAAAAGTTGGCCGCGGGGCTCTCTTTCAGCAAGGCATTTGACCTGACTGCGAAAACTCGGCAGCAGGGAAAAATCAAGGACTGATCGGGGCCCGTTAGAGTGTACTGATGAAAAACCCGTCAGGGAGGTGTTTTTTTTTTTTTTTTTTTTGGGTGATACATAACGACATACAAAAATTGATAAAAATTTAGTGCTCTCCCTGTAATGCTAAAACAGTTTCTGCACTGCGCACGATGTGACTCAGGCACTGAAGTGTATCTTTCAGTACACCAACCTGTAGACTATACTGGGTATTACGGTATACGTACACCTTACCTGAACCCAATGTAATCACTTATGAACGCACTGACACTGCCCCAGTGCCTCCATACCATTGCATATCCCAACGGCATCATTCATGAAAAGACATGAGGATCACCGTAATCCTGTGACATATTCATATCCATATCCTCCACACAGGAATCTCCACTTCACACTCCCTGCATGACAAATCCCCTCGAGGACAACATTTCATTCAATACTCAGTCGGAATCTGCGCCGGCAGCAAAAGTCACCTCATCAGTAATCCCTCACAAGAAGTGCCGGCGCTGACAAGTCATGTCCCTGAAATCCCCACAAGGCAGGTGTTCGCTCACCATACCACACCATCTTCATCATCTCATGAATTGAGGTGCTGCTGTGCTGATACATTCAAGTCCGCTGCAGCCTTACCCTCCTCCTGCAACAGCTGCCGATGCAGCAGCTCCAGGTTCTCATCAATGGTCCTCTCGGGCAAGCACTCACTCGCCACACTACCGTACTCCATCTTCATCTCATGAATGGATGTTCTGCCAACTCAGTTCTGCAGTGGTCTTTCCCCTCCTGTAGCCTTACCCTCCTCCTCTGGGAACTGCAGATTGAGCAGCTCCAGATCCTCGTCAATGCTCCTCACAGGAAAGGACTCACTTGCAATCTTGGCATCCACTCTTGCTGCTAGTGAGGCACTCTTGTCCCCCCCTCCCACCTCGGCCTGCAGTGCTTCCAGGTTTTGGGCCACTTGAGACATGGAGGGGCGGGAGGCGGTGGGCATGGCGGTGCAGCTGATGGCGAGCTTGGCAAGGCGTGTGACGATGTCCTCCGGTGCTGCCATGCGCGAATCCCCGAGAGTTGAGGTTTTTCCTGCTGACAGGAGCTCGTTTGCCTGTGGCATTGGGCGTGGGGGGAGGAGGGGGGGAGGGGAGGGAGAAGGAAGGAGGGGAGGGAGATGGAGGGAGGGGAGGGGGGAAAGAGTGGGGAAGGGGGTTGGATGGGTGGAGAAGTTGGGTGAGGAAGCGTATGGTGAGTGCAGTAGGGCGATCTTGGATAAGGAGCAGAGTGGAATGTAGAAAGGCGGCGAGTGAAGCAGCTACAATTAGGGCTTGGGAGAAAGTGGGGATGGGGAACGATGGGACGATGCACACAGAAGCACCCATGGAATAATGGTCGTGGGCTTGTATTGTTCATGCTTGTGGAGGCTTGCTCTGAGTCGACTCATACAACGAGGTGCACACAAACACACACACGGACACACACACACACACACACACACATGCACACACACACACACACACACACACACACACACACACACACACACACACACACACACACACACACACATGCACACACATGCACACACATGCACACATGCACACACATGCACACACATGCACACACATGCACACACATGCACACACATGCACACATGCACACACATGCACACACATGCACACACATGCACACACATGCACACACATGCACACACATGCACACACACACACACATGCACACACATGCACACACATGCACACATGCACACACATGCACACACATGCACACACATGCACACACATGCACACACATGCACACACATGCACACACATGCACACACATGCACACAAGCACACACATGCACACACATGCACACATGCACACACATGCACACACATGCACACACATGCACACACATGCACACACATGCACACACATGCACACACATGCACACATGCACACACATGCACACACATGCACACACATGCACACACATGCACACACATGCACACACATGCACACACATGCACACACATGCACACACATGCACACACATGCACACACATGCACACACATGCACACACATGCACACACATGCACACATGCACACACATGCACACACATGCACACACATGCACGCACGCATGCACGCACACACGCACGCAGGCACGCAAACGCACCCATTGGATAATGGTCGTGGGGTCAGGCTGATGGGCGAAGTCATCGCCCTGCTTGTCCTCTGTGATGACGGCTCCTTTCCCTGACAGCACCACCAGCATCAGCACACCAAAGCTGCGCCCACAGCAGGTACAGGAAAGCACAGAGAGACACAGTAACACAACAACAGTTGAGTGGAATTCAAGCGGATTGCAGGAGGAGACGTGGCAAGGCGTGAAGCACGGGAGGCACGGAGAGGAAGGGACATAACACACGCTGAGACGGGACTCACAATTGGGGGACACTTCCGTAAAGCAGACGGACAAGGACGCACATGTGCAATCCAGAGAAATGCGGAAGCATATGCACATGCATGCACATGCCCATGCCCATGCACATGCCCATGCCCATGCACATACACATGCCCATGCCCATGCACATGCCCATGCACATGCCCATGCACATGCCCATGCACATGCCCATGCACATGCACATGCACATGCCCATGCCCATGCACATGCCCATGCCCATGCCCATGCACATGCACATGCACATGCACATGTGGGCACCTATATACGTCCGTGGCAGTGGTGGTGTTGTGCGTTCTGGCGTAAGCCGGGTCCATATATCCCACCGTGCCCATCACTCTCGTCGATGCCACGGTGGTACCATCCCCTTCCCGCACCAGCCCAAAGTCTGCGATCTTGGGCTGACAAGCGAGGCAGGAGAGACAGGAGAGAGCAGGTTACAGACAGCATTGCTGAATACAAGCACCACGTGCATACCAGGAAGAAGATATGCTGAATGGAAGTGGAAGTGAGCATTGTTCAGCTGAAGCAGCGCACCTTGAGTTGCCACACCACACAGCGCCTTCCTTCCTCCACGCTCAACGTCTCGCATGCACGGCGCTCTGACTGACTGACTGACCTGCATGTTTTCGTCGATAAGGATGTTGGCGGGCTTGATGTCGCGGTGCACGATGCCAAAGCTGTGCAGATACTCCAACCCGCGCGCTGAACCTAATAGGATTTCCAGCCGCTGCTGCAGGGTGAGAGGCGTGGGTGCATCTGCAGGAAAGGGAAGACCAGCAGAGAGGAAGGCGGAGCACATGAGGAGAGGCGGACTCTGAGAGGCAAACAGGAGTGCAAGAAGCGAGGGTGTGTGCGGCGGGGTCCATTCGTGCGCATGCACGCGCGGACATACATGAAGCAACGGAATCACCAGAATATGCAACAGTGATGTTGGATTGAATGATGCCCGTGCCTTGCCGGCGAATTGAATTACGCACATTCTCCACACACCAAACCACACTGATGCTATTGTCCTTAGCAGTACAGCAGCCAGCACAGTACCTCGGCCCATGCCCATCCACATCTCATTACCCCATTGGGATTAAACTCATAGACAAACAAGCACGTCCTCCACACCCAATGCTGGATAGACACACTAGAGCTTTTGCTCTTGGTGGTGCTGCTCTCCTCTCAGCACTCAGCACCGTACCTGCGCCTATCCAGCGCTCGAGGTCACCATTCGAAATGATCTCGTAAACGAGAACGTTCTCCACGCGTGTGAGCACATCGCCTCCCACTGCGAACCCCAGCAGCCGCACCAAGTTGGGATGGTGCTTCGTGGACATCTGGGTCACCTGTGGGTGTGACAGAGGGGAGAAAGAAACACCACAAGCTCACTCATTGTGCCACGTGGATTGGTCTTTGTTCGTACATGAAAATGTATATCTTCTTCATATATTAACATATATGCTAGAATATTCAGACTCCGCTTAGCCAACTCTCCCTTCAGCAGCCCACCCAGCTCAACTCAAGCTCCTCAGACCTGCTACCCACCCAACCGCCCTCTCCCATTCCTTCACTCCTCCAAACCGCCTCTCACCCCATCACTACTCCAAGCACCCACCCACCTCCCGCTGGAAGTCGTTGGTGATCACTTTGGCGCGCTTCACAGCCCACAGCGTGACACCATCGAGCGGCGACACGCCCTTGTACACGTCGCCATAGCCCCCCGACCCCAGCAGGTTGGCCTTGGCCCAGTCGTCCGTAGCGCGGGTGACCATCTCGAGAGGGAGCTGCTGGAATGCTGTTGAGCTGCTGACTGAGACGCATGTGGCTGCAGCTGCAATGCAAACACAGGGGTGAGGGATAGGGATGGACGGCGGATAGATGGCCTTTGAGGCGCCTCAAAGGGGAAACAGAGGAGAGGCAGATTTGTAGTAGCAGGCTTGCTGCTGTACGAGCATGTGAAGGTGCACCAACCAAGCAGAAGCAATGAGGAGTAGCAGCAAGAGGTTTGAGTGCTGTTGAGACGTCTCAAAACTTTGATGCAGAAGCAACGGATGAAAAAAAAACCTGCAAGAGTGGTCTTGTTGCGGCGTGCACGTGTTGTGAGGATCCACCACGCTGAAGCGATGAGGAGCAACAGCAGGAGGACTGCTGCCACCACAATGCCGATGATTGCACCCGTTGACAGGCCGGATTGATCGGTTGTGGTGGTGGCGTTGGTGCTGGTGCTGCTGGTGCTGCTGGTGCTGCTGGTGGTGGTGGTGGTGGTGGTGGTGGTGGTGGTGGTGGTGGTGGTGGTGGTGGTGGTGGTGGCTGCAGGGGGCGGGGCTGGTTACACATGGGTAGAGAGATACATGCACACCGTGAAACACATGTGTTAATCAGGCTCCCGCGGGCGCACGCACGCACACACACACACGCGCACACGCACGCACTCACGCGCTTGAGCGCGAGCGTACACACATAAACACACACATGGATGAGAGCATATGGATCATGATCAGTCAGTTGTAAGCGCAAGGCACCACATCAGGTCTGGCATGTGGACTGATGCCACAAAACACAACTGTACACACTTTTTCACTTGTATTGTATGCAGGTGCCCTTGAGGGTTCTCACAACAAGGGCAGTAGCTGGGACTGCCAATTGCTATTGCTCGCCTCCTGAGGCATGACAATGCATTCTCAAGAGAAGGCAGCCTGACAAGTCCAAACCAAAGCGGTAGTGGTTAGTAGGACTGTCATGTCAACCGCTGCTCCCACAGTCCACTGCACACTACAGTAAGTGTGCGTACATGTAAGGCTGATACCAGGCTTGTAAGGCAACCGCTGGGATGCCAACCAGGCATCGTCTTGCATTGACTGCCACTGACCTGCATTGACTGCCATTGACCTGCATTGACCTGCGTGACCCACCGGCAGCAGAACCACCCGCAGCACTAGTGCAGGCGGAGCAGAAAGTGGGGCACTGTTGACAGAAGGCAGTGCTGGAAGGTTGAGGGACCACGCAAGGGGAGGCGTCAGGCGGGCACACGAGTGATGTGTTTTGCACGTAGCTGCTCAATAGAGTGGGTGGAAGGAGGGGGGGTTGGAAAGAGGGGGTTGACTTTTGAGGCGCCTCAATAGGCATTAGGAGGGCATACGAGTGACGTGTGGTACATATAGCTGCTTGTTGGGTGTGCGGGAAGGGTGGTGGTAAGAAGTAGGGGGTTGTGGAAGTGTGGTGAGCTTAGGAGAATGAAATCATGAGATGAGGTGAGTGGGAGAGGTGCCTGAATGTGCGCAAGTGAGCAGTGGTTGGGAGAGGTTGAGTGCAATGAGAAGGTGCAGGTGCGGTGAGGGGGAGGGGAGAGGGAGAGAGCAGCAGCAGAGCGCATGAATTTCTATCTACATTATGCAATGCAACGCAAGAAAACAAGAGAGCAAGAGAGCAAGAGAGCAAGAGAACAAGAGGGCAAGGGAGCAAGAGAGCAAGGGGGCAAGAGGGCAGTGACAGGGAGGTGAGTTGCAGAAGGTTGCCGAGACCAGCAGGCAGGGTACCGGAGAAATTGTTGTAACTCAAGTCGCTGCATGGCAGGCGAGTCGATGGCAATGACGACTAAGGTGGTGGTGGTGGTGATGGTGATGGTGATGGTGATGGTGATGGTGATGGCGATGACGCAATAGCAGCAACGATGACACTGATGGTGTTGAGAATTATGATGATGATGATGACGAGGACGGTGACAACGATGATATGTAGCCTCTTGCCAGCCAGGGGTTGAGGTGAGAGAAATGAAGCATGTGGATGGCGAGGTGTGATGTGATGTGCAAATGGAGGTGGCTTCAGTCTGGAGCTATGTTGAGAAAGACGCAGGGAGGACGCTGCGTCCTACGTCTGGACGCAACGTCTGGACGCTCGGACGCAGGACGCGCGTCCAGACGCAGGACGCACATCGTTTTTTTTTCGGGCTGCCCGAAAAAAAAATCCGGATCGCGAAATTCACATTTGCGATTTCGACGCGAATGTCGAAATCGCGAAATTTTGACCCCCCCTTGCCCAACTCGACATTCTAAACCCCCCCCCCCCAACATTTCATAACCCTTCATCCAAACTTGAATTTCTCAAACCTCTCAACCACTTCACATCTAGAAAATCCAACCTTTGTGGCCCACCACCAAGCCCATTTAGCAATACAACCAAGTCATTTGTGGTTTCTCATTTTACCCACCCACCCAATTCTCTTTCGAAAACCCTAGAGGTTTTAGAATTGTGACATGTGTGTGACGTGACGTGACCTTGTGACATGTGTGTGACGTGACGTGACTCACCTTAATCTTGAGTTTTGGGGGAAAAAATTGTTGTTGGGGCCAAATTTGCCTTGAAAGTGTGGAACGTCCCCCCCCCCCCCCCCCCTCTTCCCATGCCCTATAACAATTCTTTTTGCCTGCCCAGGGGGTTTTTTTGCCCTGCCCGGGCTTGCGTCTTTTGGTGCGTCTTTCTGGTCCTGGTGCTGCGTCCTGCGTCTGGACGCATGCGTCCAGGACGCAGGACGCGTCTTTCGCAACATAGGTCTGGAGCGATATGGCAGGCGGGCGGGTGGGTGCAGGCAGTCTGCTCTGCTGCTATGCTACAACAACGCAGCCTAGATTGCTTGCACACACTCCCTCACAGGAAACACCAAGGGAGAAGGAGAGCAACGACGAGCTCTTGAGAACGGCTGTCCGTGCGAACCCATGGGTTTTGGGAATTTCAAGGAGTGTGAGGAGTTGGCGAGAATGTTCACAAATGAAGGTGAGCGAGTGGCAAAGGGGAAACGCACATGTACTTGAGAGTGGTCAACCCCGTGACCCATGAGGGCAGGGATCCACTCAGTCTGTTGAATGCAAAGATCCTGCGATGTGATGCGAGACACTCATATGAGATTGCAGGCCTGCAAGCTTGAGATCCAGAATGTAAGCAAGTAAGCAAGCTGCAAGCAAGCATCATACGTGCAGGGGATATGAGGGGTGGAGAACACCGGCACAGCACAGCACAGCAGCAACACCATGCGTGCACGTATACATGCAGGCCCGCGGTGTGTTGCAAGCAGCTGATGTCGTGTCGAGCCCAAGGCTGGTGCTTTTGAGATTTGAGACGTCTCAAGACCGATGCTAGCCCATGCTAGCCCATGCTAGCCCATGCTAGCCCATGCTAGCCCATGCTAGCCCATGCTAGCCCATGCTAGCCCATGCTAGCCCATGCTAGCCCATGCTAGCCCATGCTAGCCCATGGTAGCCCATGCTAGCCCATGCTAGCCCATGCTAGCCCATGCTAGCCCATGCTAGCCCATGCTAGCCCATGCTAGCCCATGCTAGCCCATGCTAGCCCATGATAGCCCATGATAGCCCATGATAGCCCATGCTAGCCCATGCTTGCCCATGCTTGCCCATGCTAGCCCATGCTAGCCTATGCTAGCCCATGATAGCCCATGCTAGCCCATGCTAGCCCATGCTAGCCCATGCTAGCCCATGCTAGCCCATGCTAGCCCATGCTAGCCCATGCTAGCCCATGGTAGCCCATGGTAGCCCATGCTAGCCCATGCTAGCCCATGCTGTTAGAACTTGAGCTTAGAATCCATACATTAGTAATGAGCTCAAGGCTCTTTAAGTACATTGGAAATGGGCAAGGTAAGGGTGGGGAGAGAATCGGGGGCAATCCTAGGGAATTGGGGGTAATCCCAAGGCAATCTCCAATTTGTGGGTTGGAGATTGCTTGGAGATCACATTTGGGTTTGGTTGGGATGTGGGTGTACACCCAACCAAACACAAAGTGCAAACTACACTAAACTAGGATATAAAAAGTACAAGTACAAATGTGAGATTGATGGCGAACATTAACACCCCCCCATAGGCGTCAATCGAACTCATGGCAAAGAAGGTGGAGCGCAGAGCCCCATGGCGTCTAGAAGGCGATGGTGAGGAACCTTCCCAAGGGGCTTGGTGAACAGATCAGCCAAGTTGCAGTCAGAAGCCACATACTCCACATTGAGCTGCTCCCGCTGGACAAGGTCACGGATGAAGAAGCGACCGAAGTTCGATGTGCGTGGTGCGAGTGTGGTACACGGGATCCTGGGAGAGGTGGATGGTGCTCTTGTTGTCACACCAGAGGGTGGGAGTGGGCTGAGGGTAGCCAAGCTCCTGGAGTAAGAAGGTGAGCCAGCGGGCCTCCTGAGCCGCCATGGTGCCAGCATAGAGCTCTGCCTCACAGGAGGAGAGGGAGACTGCAGACGACCGGGTGGAGCGCCACCTGACAGTTCCGCTCCCAATGGTGAAGCAGTAGCCTTGGGAGGAGCGTCGGTCGGTCTGGTCATCAGCCCAGGAGGAGTCTGTGTACCCTTCCAGTCAAGAGGAGAAACCCCACCAAGGGTGAGGACATGAGACTTGGTTCCCTGCAGATAGCGCAGCACACGCTTTGCCGCTTTCCAGAAAAGTTCAGTGAAGCGTCCAGGAGCCACATAGCGAGAGAGGACACTCACAGGGTATGCCAAATCAGGCCGGGTGCACATCATGGCGTACATGAGGGACCCAACAAGCTCTGGGTATGGCTCAGTGCAGGCCTCTGGTGTGGGGACAGCTGGAGCGGTGAGGAGGTGCTGTAGAGGCAGCGGGGTGGCCATGGGTGTGCACAGCTCCATCTCAAAGCGCTTGAGTACATTGTTGATGTAGAACTCCTGGGAGAGTGAGATGGTGCGAGCCTGGCGATCACGAGTGATCTCCATCCCCAGGTAGTGCTTGAGGTCACCGAGGTCTTTCATCAGGAGGGCTTTGCTCAGGGCCGCCTGGACAGAGGTCATCTGGGCCGAGTCCTTGGCAACGAGGATGAAGTCATCGACGTAGACAAGGATGTAGAATGGCTAAGAGTGACGGCGAATGAAGAGAGTCGGGTCAGCAGACGATGGGTGAAAGTCCAAGGAGAGAAGGACGTCTTTCACTTTGTTGTGCCATTCACGAGGGGCTTGTTTGAGGCCGTAAACAGGGCCATTCACAGTGTTGGGAGGGAACTCTCCTGAATAGCCTTCAGGTCGGTCCATAAACACGGTCTCCTTGAGGTGTCCTTGCAAAAATGCTGAAGAGGCGTCCATGGAGTTGATCTCAAAGTCGTCTCGTGCGGCTACATCCAAGAGCGTGCGAGCTGTGGGTGGTTTGGATGTGGGAGAGAAGGTTTTGAAGAAGTCAAAGTACTGCTGCTGAGTGAATCCCTTGGCCACATAGCGTGCTTTGAACACTGGTGCCTCGTCCGGAAGCTGCTTCACTCGAAACCAAGGATCAATGACGGTCGTTTTTTTAAATTAACCGTATAAAACGCTATCGTTTATTTCGGTCGTATAAAACGGTAAAATACGGTTGGCATGTTCACTTTTTGTTTGGTTTAAAATACGGTCGTTTAATACGACCGCAATTTTGAAATCGAGTCACACACTAGCGAAACACGAAATTCCCAACCGTCATTCGTGGGGACCGAATTCTGTCCCCACGAATCCAATCGTTTGTGATTTCTTTTCCCGAAGCGCGAATTTCGGCATGTACCCGAAGCGCGACATTTGAGCATTTGGCGAAGTGGTCAACAACGGTTTACCCGTTTCGCTCTGTCGTTTCAGCTGTTCGCCGCTGCGCAACGACTTCAATTTAGCGGGCCGCGACATTCAAACATTTGGCGAACCGACACCAATTGTTTGAATGTTTCGCGTAGCAGCTGCACACTTTCGCGCCCCCAATTTTGGTTTTCGCCCGCATGTGCGACAACCCAACCTTCGCGCTGCGAACTCATTTCAGCCAATCAGAGTTGCACCTGTTCCATTCCTCTCACCACCCCATCCCCAAATTCCACTCGACAACGCTTGCAGAGCCCTTTGCCCCACGAAGGTACTAATACGAGCAGCAGAAACTAGTCAACGCATCCTAGCATCAGATTTACCTTAGCATTCTCTCACCTCAGTTAAGACCATGGTGAGACCATTATCGGACGAATGGAAGCACGTGATCAAGGAGACATCCAACGGCGTAGTTAATGCGACATGCAAGCATTGCGGAGAAGCCGTTACTCCTAACGCGACACGCATTAAGTATCATATTTACGGGACTCCTTCAGACAAGCTTAAGAACGTGACGATGTGCAAGTCGATCGAGGCTGATGCACTCCGTGCGGAAGCCGAACGAGAACGTTCCACCACCGGGGGTTGTGAAAACCGTGCCTCCACGTCCTCGGTTGCACTTCAGCCCGTACGTCGTAATAGGCAACGTGACATCCGCGACATGACGGATGATGTTGCCCGCGGACGTCTAGATTACCTGTGGTGTGCGGCTATGGCAGATAACGATCTCGCGTTCAACGTATCTCATTCCAAATCGTTCCAGGCGTTTGTGGACGCGGTCGTCAACTTCGCGAAGCCTTACACTCTCCCCACACCCTACCGAGTCTCGGGCCCGCTGCTTGCCAAACTCAGGCCTGATACGGAAGACCTCGTTCAGCCGCTCAAGGACTCTTGGAACACGAGCGGGTGCTCCCTCTCGGTGGACGGGTGGACGTGCATCAAGTCACGAGGCATGGTGTGCGTCATCGCGCTAAACGACACGGCACCCGTCATTGTTGAGGTAGTGGACTCGAAGACAGCAAAGAAGACCGGAGCGTACCTGGCGGGACTTATTGGCGATGCCGTCCACTCTGTGGGAGGCCATCACGTCGTCCAAGTCGTGATGGACAACGCGTCCAACAACAAGCGTGCGGCCAAGTTGCTTAAACCCGAAGTTCCCCATGTCTTCTTCACGAATTGCGCCGCGCATGTGTTGGACCTCATGTTGCACGACTTCGGGAAGGTTCGGTCGGTGAGACGCGTTCTAGCTCAAGTACACCGCGTGATTATGATGGTGAAGGGCGGCGCCTCCGCGGTTGTGCTTTTCCGCACACTCTTCACGAAGTTGTCGTTGGTCTGGCCCGGTGCAACGCGTTTTGGGACCCAAGTGATCATGGTCGGCCGCTTCTTGGAAGTGAAGAGAGCGCTTAAGGCGATGGTGATTAGTGAGGAGTGGGAGCAGGTGGCGATGGCACGGTCGAAGGAGGGGCAAGCGGTCCGCACGCTCCTACTTGATGATGTGTTTTGGGAACTCGTTGTCGCAGTCCATCGCCTCATGACTCCGGTCTATGAGGTGCTTCGGGCTGTTGACAAACGCTCTCTACTCATGGGGCAGATATATGGCCTCATGTTAGAGGCTACTGTCAAAACGAACGAGGCTGCAGAGGCGGCAGGTAAGCGGCTTACACATCTTGGTTTGCTATATAGTGATACCCATCCCAAACGAGGCACTGACATGTTCGTTGGGTTCTCTGTCCACAGCGGGACTATTCGTCAAGCGCACCGCCCTTCTGGCGATTGGCAACCATCAAGGCAATCGTGGCCAAGAGATGGGACGGCCAGCTACACAACCCGTTGCATGCTTTGGGGTGGCTTCTCAACCCCCGAAACCAGTATCAGAATGCGGTGAGAAACGACAAAGAGGTAATGGCAGGGGCGGATGCGGTCATCCAAGCCCGTGGTGGGGACGTGGCTAAGCGCGCATTGCTGTGCGCTCAGCTGGCCCAGTTCCACAAAGGAGAGGGGCGGCTTGGATCACACGACGCCCGTTGGGCGGCCTCGACGTTGGTGGAGGGGGGGCGCTTGACGGATGCCGAATGGTGGTGGATGTATGGTGGGGAGGTCCAGGCGCTTCAGGAGCTGGCTGTGATGACCCTATCACAGCCAGTCACCTCATCTGCGGTGGAACGCTACTGGTCCGCCCTTGCTCGTGTGCAGAGGCGGGACCGGAACCGCCTGGCCGCCACAAAGATGACTGACGTCACCTTTGTGGCCTTCACCAG